GGGGACGGAAGGAGGGGGAGGGAGAAAGGAAGAAAATGGAAAATTGAAGATGATGTGGACAGAGAAAGTCAGTTGGTCTTAGTGCTCCCTCTTGCTTGCCTCACTAGTCCCCTCCCCTCCTTCCCATTTGATCCTGTTGTTATGGACTCAGTGTTTGTATCCCCTGCCCCAAATTCATATCTTGATATGATAACCTCCAATGTAACAGGACTTAAAAGCAGAACTTTTCAGAAGCACTTAAGGTTACATGAAACCATCACCTAGGGCTCTGATACAATAGACTCAGTATCCTTAGACGAAGAAAAGACCAGAACTTGCACAGTGTACCCACAAGAAGGCATGTGAAGAAAACAGGTAAGCGGCCATCAGTGAGGAAGGGCCTGCTCCAGAAACTGAGTCCACTGCAGCCAGGTTGGGACATCTAGCCTCTGGGACCACAGAAATAAGTGTCTACTGGACTATTGTAGTGGTAATCACAGTCCAAGGTGACTCAGGTACTATCTATGTAAAATTTTGGCATTCTGTTTCAACATGGATGGTTTTCCACTAATTTCAGTTTAAAATACAATGCACTAGAGCATCATTTACCTCAATTCCTGAGGTTCTTTTTATTTATTTCTTATTTATTTATGTGTATGTGTATGTATGTATGTATGTATGTATGCACATGCCACAGTGTGCATGTGGAGTCTGAGGACAACCTGCAGGAATCGGTTCTTTCCTTCTACCACATGGATGACTCGGGTTGCCAAGCCATCCTGCCAGCCCAATTTCTAAGATTTGTGGCACCCCCTAAATTCTGTCTCACTCACTCAGCCCTGGATTGTTGATGAATAACTTCTAAATATAATTATGTGACTCAGTATCAAGGTCAAAATTCTTTTAGCAGAATTAGCTATTATCATAAGCTATATAAGTATCATACAAACATTAAAAATTTAATACAGGGAACTGGAGAGATGACTCAGCAGTTAAGAGTGCTTCCTGCTCTTGCAGAGGACCTCAGTGCAGTTCCCAGTACTTAGGCCAGGTGACTCACAACCACCTCTAACTCCAGCTCCAGGGGGATCTGATGCCCTCTTCTAGCCTCCTCGGGCCCTGTACTCACATGGCATAGACTCACAGATGGACAGACAGACAGACAGACACACACACACACACACACACACACACAATTTTAAAATAGTGATAAATCTTACAAAATAAAATATTAATAGCAGAAAAGTGCTTACTAACAAATATGAAGCCCTAGGTTCAGTGTCCCACATGGCCACATCCAATAAATATAGCAAAGTATATTAACAGCAATAGTACCTATGTTAGCACCAAAACACGAGCATTGGGTTAGGGAGGAAGGGAAGTTTAAGTGAAGCTAGTTTTGATCACTGGAAGATTCAATATGCAGCGTGTCATCCTTGGTTTTGATGACTAAAGAAACATAGATTAAAGAACACTTGTAAAAAAGAAAAAATCTTATGCAACCACTGCTTGTGTGTCTTAGAGCATATTTCTCCCAAAGCTCTAAGCAAGAATAAAAGTAATGCAGTCTTTGCAGCAAAATAACCAAGGGGAGAGAAAGAAGCAATCTGGAATTACAAGAGCAAAATCAGCACTAGACTAGCAGAGAAATGAACACAGGCTGTATTTTCTTTTTCCTTTCCTTTTTCTGACCCTTTAAGTAGCCCAGGCTGACTGTGAACTCATGATTGTCCTGCTTCTGCCTCCCGTGTGCTAGGATCATAGGTGTGTGCCAACCATACCTGACTCCAAACACCAGTTTTCAAAGACAGAGGTTTGTATGGGACTGATTTAATCAGTCCTTGGTTTCCTATGAGCCCTGCTGAAAGCCTCACCTTCTGGCCTTGTGTGACTTCTGGCTTGGGGTCCAGTAAAACCCTTCAGGGCTTCCAAACAGAAAAACATTGTGGCTCCAAAGTGGGGAAAGGCATGAAGCATATGCATGGAGGGAAACCAGCCTTCCTAACTTCTTTTTTTTTTTTTTAATTTTTAAATTTTCTTTTCTTTCTATTTTATGTGTGTGAAATCTTTCACCTACATGTATATAAGTGTACCACATGCATCCAATAACCTGTGGAGGCCAGAAGATGGCCTCAGATCCCCTGGAACATAAGTTATGGATGGTTATGAGCTGCCATTGGGTGTTCTGCAAGAGCAGTCCATGCTCCTAACCTCTGAGTCATCTTTCTAGCCCCCATTCTTAACTTCTTTGTGTGGAGTCAGGGAAGGGAGAAAATGGAATGTCCAGGCACACATGCACATGTATGAATGTGTGTGTGGAGGCCAGAAGACCATCCTGAGTGTCGTTCCTCAGGATGTTGTTTTTGTTGAGACAAGGTCACTCACCTGGCCTGGAACGCACTGATTCATTGAGTCCCAGGGGGCCTTCTGTTTCTTCCTCCCCAGTGTTGGGATTACAAGTGCCTATTACCATGGCCAACTTTTATACATGACTTCCAGGGGCTTGAATTTGAACCTTCACGCTCACATGGCAAGTACTTTATCCATTGAGCCATCTTCCAGCCCCTGATTAACTGCTTTCTTTATGGAGAAGTTGCCACTTAGTTTAAACAGCTTAAAAACCCCACCCATCTGAAATATCCTGCAGGCGTAGCTTAGGCTTCTCCCCCTTAGCCCACTGACTGACAGCATGATCAGACTTCTATCTTGGCTTAGAATCATAAAATAAAAGTGACTGGAAGTGAGTAGCTTTGCCAGAAGGAGGAAGGAGACAGGAAGCAGAAGAAAGCCCTGCAATGTAGAGAGAGGAAAATGGAGAAAAAGTGAAGCAAATGGCCAGAAATGCCAAGAAGAGTCGGCATTTAATAGTCACATTTAACCATTTTTGCCAAACCTCACCATGGGACTGGCTTATTAATGACACTTTTCAGGAATCTTTTTGTGTTTTGTTTAGCATTTAATAGTCACATTTAACCATTTTTGCCAAACCTCACCATGGAAGGCAAAATGGGACTGGCTTATTAATGACACTTTTCAGGAATCTTTTTGTGTTTTGTTTTGAGACAGGGTCTCCCTGTAGCCCCAGCTGGTCTGGAACTCACTATGTAGACCAGGCTGGCCTTGATCTCACTGAGATTCATCTGCCTCTGTCTCTCCAGTGCTGGGACTAAAGGCATGAGCCACCTCACCCGGCTTACTCTAGGAATCTTAAGAAGAATGAGAACATTCTGGAAAGGTAAAGGAGGGACAGTAGAATAATTCTGCTTTCTGCTCTAGTTCTCCTGTCTGTAATTACATGTGTCTTGCTGTTGTCCTCACTCATATCCACCAGGGTTTTGTTGTCACACCTCCTAACAGTGCTGGCTCTGGTATCCCCTTTTCCAAGCCCACCTTGCACCCATCAGACTGTGAAGGCCCAGCTCTGACATAGTCCTCACTAGACCTTTGTGGTTAGAGTGTGCTTGGAACTGAATCTCTGCTCCATGGACTACAAATAAGTTACCAATGCAAAATCATGATGACAGAGTCCTTTGTACCCCAAATCCCTTCAAGGTCCAATTCTCTCCCGTGCTGGGAACCCATATGCAGTCCAGGCTCTAGATTCTGAGCCTGGTCTGCCCACTTTTCTTACAAGTTTGAAAGGCCACATCTAGGCTGGGTAAGACAGACCGACCCTCTTCCCCCTCCCACCAAGCATGGGCCTCCATGAAGCTACTGAAGTAGCTCGGGCAGGACTGGTGAGAGAGTTGCATACTTCAAGCCTTGACCCAAAAGCCAAATCACTTAATGATTCCGCATAGCAAACCTCCCTGAAAAGAGAAGCATTTTGGAGCCAGCGTATCTTAAAAATGTCATCCAAGATGGGTCTGGGAGTTAGACTAGGTAGAAAGCAGGCAGGTGCACATGAAATTAGGCTTGGAATAAGATTAGCACCAGAGAGCTACACTTATAGACAAAGGCTTCACAGCCTACCAGTTTCCTAGAAGATGTAAGAAAATGTTACAGATGATGAACTGCTATGACATCACAAGGGGTTACAGATATAGCTCAGTCAGAGAGTACTTAGCATGTGCAAGGCCCTGTGTTCCATCCCCAGCACTGCATAAAGTACGTGTGGTATAATCCCAGCACTTGGCAGGTGGAGAGAAGAAGATCAAAAGTTAAGGTCATCCTTGGCTACATAGCAAGGTCAAAGTCGGTCTGGGCTATGTGAGGCCCTGCCTTTAAAAGGGAAGGGGAAGAAGAAAGTGAGGAGAGAGAGAGAGAGAGAGAGAGAGAGAGAGAGAGAGATCATAAATTCACTTTTGATTCAGAAAAGTGATGGAACTAAAACACAGGACAAGAATTAAAAAGCCAAAGCACCAGAAGAATTGTGCACAGGGGTGTTTGGGGGGCTGCAGGTTATCACCAGGGCATGCTGCCCACCAAGGGTTTCAGTGAAAATCCTGAGAGTTTTTACTTCCATTGACCCATCCTGTCCACTCTTAGAAATGAGCATGTCTTTATCAGTGTGCACCAGGCCACCACAGCTCTGCCAACCTGGGGAGGCCCGAGATGGTAAACAAATACACTTTGTGGTAAC